CAAAATTACACTTACAAATTTTAGAGGAGGTTTTAAAAAGATTACAGCTACATAATTTAAAAATAAATTTGGGTAAGAGTAAATTCTTAGCCGAAGATATCGAATATTGTGGTTACTTAATAAATAAACAAGGCATACATAAAATAAAATCAAAAACTGAGGCGATAGAAAAGGCACCAAGGCCAGTAAATATACAGCCAGTACGAGCTTTTATTGGACTGGTAAGATTTTTTAAGAATCTTAGCACAAATTTATTTCCCTTAAACAAACTTTTACATGAAGATACAAAATTTTACTGGTCTGAAGATTGTGAAAAGTCATTTAAATTAGTGAAAAGAGAAATGCAAGCAGATTCATTTTTGGTACATTTTGATAGCAGTTTACCAATTGTGCTAGCTACAGATGCGAGTCAATATGGTGTAGGGGCTGTACTTAGTCATATTTACCCAGATAGATCTGAAAAACCAATAGAATTTGCGTCACAAACATTAACCAATAATACACAATGTAATATTCACAGATAGACAAAGAGGTATATGGAATAATATTTGGCGTAAAGAAATTCTATAAGTATTTAAGTATATGGTAGGCATTTTATTTTGAATACGGATCATGCTCCATTAGTACAAATTTTACCAGTAGGTACTAAGTTCCACTAGAATGCAACATTATGCATTGTATTTACAAACATTCAATTACGAAATACGTTACAAACGTTCTCATTTAAATGCAAATGCAGACGCGATGTCAAGACTGCCAGTAAAAAATGAAAACCCTGATAGATTGGATGTTCCCGATGTTTTTGAATTAAATCAAATACAAACATTACCAGTTACAGTGAAACGATTAGCGGAGGAGACTTATAATGATGATACATCATACATTACGACCTTTACTACAAGGTTTAAATTCAGGGAAGGTAGTTAACAAACAATTAAGATTTAATTTAGATCAAAGTGAATTTACGGTACAAAACGGATGTATTTTAAGAGGATCTAGAGTAGTTATACCAATTGTTTTACACAGGGAAGTATTGGAAGAGCTTCACACTTCACATTTTGGTGTTGTGAAAATGAAAGGGTTGGCACGCAGTTATTGTTGGTGGCCAAATATAGACAATTCTATTGAAGAATTAGTAAAAAATTGTTACGAATGTAATAAAGTCAAGAATAATGTAAAAAAAGTCGAAGTTCACCCATGGGAAGTTTCAAAAGCACCATTTGACAGGGTACATGCCGATTTTGCGGGACCGTTAAATGGGGGCTATTATTTTATATTAGTGGATTCATATTCACATTGGCCCGAAATTCATTTTACCAAAGTCATTACTAGTGAAGGTACAATTGAAATTTGTAGGAAAATATTTTCGACTTTTGGAATACCGAAAGTTTTTGTAAGTGACAATGGTAGCCAATTTACTTCATTAAAATTCAAAACATTTCTAAAACAAAATGGGATTTTACAAAAACTTTCAGCTCCATACCATCCAGCAACCAATGGGTTGGCGGAGAGATTATGTTCAGACTATGACACAAGCACTAAAAACTATGAAGTGTGAGGGAAATACTCGAAATTTTGAATTGGGTAAATTTCTACTTCAGTAGGTATAGGAAAATGCCACATTCAACCACTGGACATTCACCTTCTTATTTAATGTTTAATCGGGAGATACGATCTAGAATAGATTTGATAAGACCCGAGTCGAAAGTTACAAGTTCAGTGGAACATTACATAAAATCTCGTAGAATTAATGTTGGTACAAGAGTAGTACAAGAGATTACTTTCATGAGAAATGGAAGTTTGGGACAGTAATACAAACTTTTGGGAAATTACATTATACGGTTAAATTAGACGATGGTAGACAGTGGCGTAGACACATAAATCAAATGAGAGAAATTGGAGAAAATACTCCTTCTGAGCGATTTTTACCATATAATATTCAAGAGATCCCAGAAGATGATATCAACGTAGTACCTGAAGTTGACAGTAATAGAACTTTGGAATCAGAAAGTACAACCGATAAGGAATTACCTATGCAAGATTCTGCGCACGATCAAAGTGATCATATTCACCCAACAATGACCGATAATGCAAATGTTCCGGTGTTAAGGCGCTCTATCGGAACTAGAAAAGCACGGGTTAGATTTGATTTATAAGAAATGTTAAATATTATTTTATTTAGGAAGAGGGGAGTTGTTATATGTCGGTTGTTTTGGTTGCTCAGCAGTGTTACTTAGTTACATATTTATTATTTTTCAGTTAGAGTGTCATTAGAGATTCTGCTCTGTACGAAATAAATAAATTGAATCACAATGACATAGTTGGCGACGCACCCCCTCCAAACCCCCTGCGCCCCAGCCACCCCAACTTTTAAATCTTAAATAGTGACCCCCCATGTGTGATACGTCGTTGGAAAGCTCTGAAAAAATGCTTTCCAACCATGCCAAATAGCATTACATTTAGGTTAGTAATTATCGTGCAAATAAAAAAATAAACTAATATGATACATTTGAAATCTGTCGTATTTAAAACGCAATCGGCGAACATAGACGAACTAAGACAGAGAATAATTCAAGAATGTCGAAATATTGCAAAACCAACATTTGAAAAGGTTCGACAAGAGTTTGAGAATCGATTATAACTGGCGATCAAAAATGAGTTGCTGTCGAGTCGGCTTTGGAAGTTCAAGTTAAATACGATTTTCCATGTTTATTTTTTGATTTGCACGATAATTTACTAACCTAAATGTAATGCTATTTGTATGGTTGGAAAGCATTTTTTCAGAGCTTTCCAACGACGTATCACACATGGGGGGTCACTATTTAAGATTTAAAAGTTGGGGTGGCTGGGGCGCAGGGGGTTGTGAGGGGGTGCGTCGCCAACTATGTCATTGTGATTCCCCCTCCGAATTACCGAAAACGGATTTTGATTTTTTTAAATATCTCGTTTATTTACTAAGATATGGGGGGTGGTAAGTTTTCAAATTGTCACCCTGTATATGTCGTTGTTTTGGTTGCTTAGCAGTGTTACTTAGTTACATATTTATTATTTTTCAATTAGATTGTCATTAGAGATTCTGCTCTGTTCCAAATAAATAAATTGAATTAATTTATGTACAATTGAGGTACCACGAACCCAAAACATACAATACAAAGATTAACATACCTTCCATTCTTTACAAGAAATGGGGCAGATTTTTCTGTAACTGTTCAGTGTGGAGTTTATTATTAATTTAAATTAGAGCAGAAAAAGAACAGTGAAAGAATGCGATACGCCTACCCGCGTTTAAAATTTATACAGACGGTGTCTATCTAGTGTACTATTATCTTTGCCTGGACAAAAGGACGAATGCTAGTTTGGGATGCCATCTGCACTGACACCCGAGTGGTGTAGTTGTTGAATCTGGAGAGCTCAGTAACGTATGTAAATTATATTTTGTTGTTCTCTTTATAACTATTAATTCACTGGGGAACAGTAATTTTGCGGCATGGCAGATTGAAGTCAATTCTGTATCAGACTAGTGTGCTGAATACTGGAAAAATATCAGATTTGTAAAATTGGCTCCAGTGTTTGAGATAAAAACTATTAACTATTTAAATCAATAATTTTAGTAAAAATACCAATTTGCACTGAAAAAGTACTTTTATTAAGTTGATCTTTAGGAATGAAACAAAAACAAATATATCTATGCAGTTCACTGACGAAATTTAATTTTCTGCCATGGTTCTGCTCAAGACAATCCCTTACTAAGGTCCAGCAGTAGTCTGCCATCATGTGGCGGTCCCATCGACCTTGGTATCTTTCTTCCATGACCCTAATGTCCTGGTGGAACCGTTCTCCTTGTTCCTCGCTGTAATCGCCCACATTATCCGGGAATCTATCTAAATGACAATGCAAAAAGTGCACTTTAATGCTCATATTAGCTCCTAATTTGTTAAAATTTTGAAGCATTTTAGTGACTAGTTTTGCATAGTCTGGAGCTTTATGATTCCCTAAGAAATTTTTGATTACTAAAACAAAGCTTAACCATGCCTCAGATTCAATTTGTGTCATCTAGTTCTCGAATTCAGTGTCTTTTATAAGTGTTCGGATTTGAGGTCCATCGAAGATGCCCGCTTTCAACTTTTCCATACTTAGCGCTGGAAATTTTTTACACACATACTTAAAACAGTTACCCGTCTTATCAAGGGCTTTGATGAACTGTTTCATTAGCCCGAGCTTGATGTGAAGTGGTGGAAGAAGGATATTTTTTCGGTTTAGCAGTGGTTCATGAATCACATTTGATTTTCCTACCTCCATATTTTCGCGCAAAGGCCAATCCTTTTTACTCCAATGCAAATAAGACGAACTGTTTATAAAATTCATTAATAAAATTAGTGCCGCAGGCATTTTTATTTTTTTTGTTCCGCTGTGAGATTGAATGACATTTTGAAATTGTCTTTTGACCGCGATAATCAATGACGTTTTGCTTTTTGGTGCAGATAAGGAGTTGCAAAACAAAAATGCCTTCAAGTACCTACGTTCCCAAAAATAAAACACTACACAACTGATCGCAGATAAACTTTTTTATTGTATTTAATTATACATTTGCTTATACATTATACATAAGTACATCTATGACTTCAACAACGATTGTACAAGATTTTCCATGAAATAAGGGTAAAAAAATGCTGTGTACGGACATGTATGTTTTGAACATTAATTACACTTTAGGAAGGTTTTATCAGGCTTTAGCATTTTTTTTTAAAATAAATCAATAAAAAACGTAACAAATAAGCTTTTGTTTGCATTTATTTCATTCTAAAATAAAAACAAAAAAAAATTAATATTAAATTATAACAAAACCGTTTGTATCCAAATATAAATAAAATATACAATATAATTACAATATTTATTATAATCTAAATGACTAGCACGATTTATAATTCTATTAAAAAAATAAATAACAATTATCTTCATTTTCACAACTCAAAAAAATATACATGCAAATGATGGTTGCATGTATATTTAACACGTTTTGCTTACAATAATAAGAAAACTGAAATCGTAATTCGAAGACATTGAAAAGGTACGTACAAAGAAATAATACAAGTACGGGAAGATATGTTTTGTATATATTAATTGTGTGTATATTAAATTATGTGCATTTGCTTTGTTTTAATAAAAATATTTATAACTATGTACAGTTTGCTGGAGACCAGCAGAAATCATTATCATAGTACCATAACGACACGTGAATTGTGGTGGTTGTGGTGCGTTGAATGGTGTTGATGTGGACTGTCAACATCGCTACTTTGTGAAACATTGTCGGATTTGTTTTCGCCGTTCCACTTGCACATATCGGGAGTACTAATCTCGGCGAGGCTTTTGAGTGGCTCGCACGTTTCGGGAGGAGTGCTACCGTATTCGTGGTTGTTAGGCGATCGGGTTACAGGCGAAGGATGCTGGATGTGATTTGAACCCCACATCAAGACGGTTTGGCGCGGTACTTCTTGCACGGATGACGTGGCTACGGCCGAAAAGTGTAGGGAGGACGTGGAATTTTGGTTCATGTGGTGATTGGGACTTGCGGACGGTATCATCGAGGTATCCGCTTTGATTTCCTCCATTTTTGGTGTTAGGAGTCCGCTGGGAGAGGAAGAATGGTTGGATTGCATTCCGTCGAGCGACGAAGAGTGCTTGATGATTTTTCCGCACTGCTTTTGGTTTAGGTCGGCCACTTGGGCGCTCATCACCTGTACAGGTTGTATAATTCCGGAGGATGGACTAACTGAATATGGCCACGAGACGTCAAGACACTTAGTTGAGTTGGCGACGACGTACCCTCTTGAGCTGTCCACGTACGTCGCGTATTTTGTCGAAGGTGATGTGTCTACTACTTGTTGGCAGGAATAAAGTTTTTCATCTACAGGCATGACGGCTGTACGATATGTGGTATGGTGACTAGCAGTTGTTGAGGTGGGATCGTAGGTAGGCACACCGGCCCGCGAAGGCATTTCTAAAAATCCGTTACCGACATACGGACTAGCGGTGGTAGTATGGTGGTAGTCGGGGTAGTAAGAACTAAGTGGGCGATACTGATGGAATAAATTTTCCGAAGTTAGGTATCGGTTATCAAGAGCTGTAGGTGTAGGATATAAGCTATGCTGGAAGTTTGAATGGCTCATGTACGACGACAAGCTATGATCGGTTGCAGTCGGAGCGTAGGGTGTTGTATACATGTTGTAGGCTGCCGTACACCCATCTGAGGCTATGTAATCTACAGAAGGCATTGGACTAACCACTGACGCTGAAACGGTAACGTTAACCGGTGGAGTGATCTGTCCACTGGACGACGTGGAGGACAGTTTACGTTTCGTTCTACAAGTCGAAAGAAAGTCTCGTAATTGCGTTTTATATCTTCGATTAACTCTGGACGGCGTGGTCGGTACATTATGTTGAGCAACATTTCCGGTATTGGCTAACAGCTGGTCAGATTCCGTAAAGTAGCTATTAGAAAGACCCGCATCTAAATAGCTAACCTTAAAATCCATAGTGCGCTTTCCTAAAAGATCGCGACCCTCTTCCTCCCTAAAAAGTGCCAAATATGTACCAAAGCAACAACGTTTATCATGCAAACTTACATTAGCGGCCGGTGAGTGCTGATGATAAAGTCTGGTTTGGAATTTTTGTACACCAGTCGCGAACTAGTTTGCAACCATTGCCATTGCCCTTCTTTGGTTTGGTATCGGTAAGCTATCATTCCTGATGCTCCCGTTTTTAACACTGGAAAAACGTAAACTTGAGCGCCAAGTAAAGATCAAGTGAAAACCTTACGCTCTTGGTGCGCGCTGGCCACGTACGCTAAATCGTCGTAGTGCACTAGATCGTACCCTCCCATGTTCGCCAACTCCGAATCGGAATACCCCAACAGCATCTTCCCTCGAGGATCCATTGAGACCAACGCCAGGTCCAACTTATGTTTACTCTTAAACATCACTTCTTTTTGTGGAATTTCTAATAATGAAGGAGGCCCGAATGGTGTGCATATTGCAAAAAGTGCTAGAGGAGGCTCTTCTGATTTACGGTTTTGACCGTGCAACACTTTTACACGCCCTCGTATATCTAAACGCTACAAGCAGCCGTTAATCGAATTGCTTCCGGTTGAAAAGCGAGCACTTACTAAGAAACCGGAAGTATTGTCAAGTAGACATCGGAAGCGCACGGTAAAACTACGTTCCAATAGGTGGCAGTTTTCTGGCAATAGGACATCTTGAAGGCCAATGTTGGCCGACTCTGGTGGCAGATACGAATTCCACATTAGTTGTCGTTGTAACTCTTCCCGATCTTCGGAGTGAACCAATTCGTAAACCGATTGATGTACTATATCTGACTGATGGAATCCTAGGTAACCCTCTATACTGTGCGTTGCAAAAAAGACCTCCCCTTCGCATGTTAATATCATTAGGAACCCGTTTAGTGCCTATAACAGAAGAAGAGCAATAAAGTAATAATTTGACGAAAAGGGACATACCTGCAGAAACATTTCTCCGTCTAAAGGCGTATGATCAAATGCCGTTAAATCTCTCGAACGATGCAATCCACCACCGTCATCTTTGTCCTTATGCATTACAACTGAAATCAAAATACTCAAATTACAATTAAGAATAAACCAACAGCCGTAAAATAACCGAGAAGACTATGTTAATTATTAAATCATTACCAAGTGCACGTTTTCTACATGTAATAACAGAATTCCACTGAGTAAAAATGTGCGTTTTCCTTCGCCATTTTTGTTGTAATTACAGTCTACAAAATCATTCATAGGAACTATCATAAGCTTGTAAAGATTAATTAAGTTTTAATAACAGTTTTATAACTCGATTATGCAAGCATTTACGTAAAGTGCATATTTGGATAATGTGAGAAGATTATATTTCACATTCATACATCGTTGATGGGTGGATCATATTCGGACAGTGTGAAACTTTCAATTTTCGTGTTTTCAAAATGAAAAGTCCAATTTAAATTTTGCACTTGTAGGTTGCCAATTTCTGTAGCAATGGAAGCAGATGCTTTTGAAATTCAAATTTCCAAAGTAGCTCATATTGTCACCTATTGCAGATTGTAAAATTTTTAAGGGGTTGTTACCTTATACCAACAGCAAGAAGGCCTAAAATTTCTGCTGATTCCTGGTCACATAAACCGTCAATGGTCTCGCATACCGCTTTTTAACTTTTAGAACGGGGTTTGGTTGAAGTTTTAATGTTGAATTCATTGATTCAGGTTGATTAATTATTCATAATCGCCTTTCGAGCATTCAACATAGTCACCCTCTCGGCCCATTATTAGAATAGTGTAATGAACTCTTGAAGTAATTTAAAGTGACTCCGAAAGCAACAACAAGTGCCTTTTGCTTTCTTATACCACAGACAACATAGTATATGTTGTCTGTGCTTATACTGTTTGGCGTATTAGAAAACAAATCTCACACGTGATTTGTCATTGGCATTTATTAACGTAACATAAACATAGTAAGAGTTTGTTTGACGGTATTATGCTACAATTGATAATGAACGGTCAAAAAAGCGTCACATGGATCAACTTCGGTCAACACCAGTACCGCAGAAGACGGTTATCTTCGCTCCAACTTTAAATAATTGTTTTCCAAACAAGCCACCAACCGGATAATAGGGGTTTCAAACGCTGATGTTGCTATTAGTTTAAAGGGGACGCCAATCTCAAAAATTGCGTTGGTGCCATTTTGGTCTAATATAAATAGGGATCAGCAATCAATTAACAAATTATTTGTTAATGTGCTCAATCATTTTATTCGAATTACAAAGGATAAATAATACGCGGCGTCGAAATTAATCGGTTATTAAATTGCGCGTTAATTTACGAAGAAGGAACAATCCTATAATCGCGAAGATAATCAAAATGTGTTTTTTTAAAAGGATTCAGAGAAAGATTTGGGTCTATGAATTACATTTATCGGGGAAAACACTGAATATGGTATAGCCTGTTTGCACCGACGATGATGAAGTCGATCCTGTACCATGTGCCAAGAGCGGGTACACGTACAGGTTCGGGGAGCCATGTTGTCCAGGAAGTGAGAAATCACTCCAAAGAGGCGGAAGAATTCTTCGGGATCAACGGCTTCAGGATGGACAAGGCCAGGAGAACCACTCCATTAAACACCTCGCGGTCTCCCTTGAGAAGTGCCAGAGAAAGATGAAAACTAATATGGATTATTTGAATATTACATTTTCCGGAGTTAAAATAGTCCCTACTTGGGGACAGTATAATACAACATGCAAGAAAAACTGAGGATGGCAACCTGGAACGCCAGAAGGCTACTAAAGGCGAGAAAGCTTGAAATTCTACGGCGAAAAATGATTAAAAACAGAGTGCATTTGTATGGAGTGGTGAAACAAGATGGAAGGGACTTGGACAGGAAAATTGCGAAAATGCAAAATTCTTTTACAGTAGTAAACAAAAGGGGTAAAAGGGAGTAGGAGTTATTGACAGTAAGGAACTTTCCAAATGTGCATCCAAAGTAATTTATGGCTCTAAGGCTTAACACTGTGCCAAAGGAAATGTTAGTGGCTCAAGTGTACATGCCAACCACTTACCATGAGGACGGGGGAGTAGAATGAGTATACGCAAGGATAGAAAGATAATCGAGGAAGCAGATTATTGAAAAAGATGCAGGTTTTATTTTTCCAATTTTCCGTCTTTATTATGCAAAAAATTGAAGACTAATACGGTTGATTGACGTAAAAAATTTTTTTCTACAAAAAACCTTAATACATTTTTGCTCTAAAATAATTTGGGGAGCCAATAATCGCATGTTATGAATTTTACATTGAAATCCCTATGATGCGTTACGCAAGTCACCACCCTGTATAGGAATCAGGGGAACGGCCTGAAGATTCCTGATGACTGTGATGATACCTCTAGCTAAAAAGAAAGGAAGTTAGTCAACGAAACTTAAATTGGAAAAGGTGAAAAGGTATTTTTTAATATCAATTGGGCCTATCATATCAAAACTTCAGTTTATGAACTCATGTCCATGTCCAGTTAAGTTTAACGATGTAGCAGTGCAAGTACGATGATTATTAAAAAAAGATTCAAAAGAAAACAAGGGGATTAGAATTTTTGGTATCTGCAGATTATACAAGAAGAATTTCAAGTTAATTTACGCTTCCCTAATGTGTATCTGCTAACGGTCTGGAGATATTAATTTACTGAGTATTTAAAAATTGTTGCTTAAAGGCACACCTTATCCTATGCCATATTATCTATTAACCTAATCTGCATAGCAGGTGTCCTAAGTTGATATACGATCGGTAAGTAGAATAACGTTCAATGATTTTAATCTAACGAATTGTTAAAAACGCGACCTACCCATATAAAGCAGCAAAACCTGTGCCTAAGGAGAAGTGCCGTTGATATTAGGGTTACATCTAAAATTTTAACGTCACGTATAACGTCTTCTCGATACATTGTGAAGACACCATTCTAATTCTTCTAAAATTAATAAAAGTTGGGTTTTTAGTTTTTGGCTTTTTGATGCTTCAGATTCTTCCGATTACCTATTTGGATTTTGCTGTTCCTTCGATGTGGTCAGTTTCTTTTGTTTTCTGGAAACTTTGAAATTATTTTCAGTCTTTCGTACATTTTCAGACACAATAATTATATTTCAGATTGCTTGGGTTTTTCAACATTTTTAATTCAGTTGGTAGCTTCAAATCCACCCCATTCCTTAATTTCTATCAATTTTTTTATGATTCCTCTGGCCCATTAGGTCTTTCGGTTCGTAAGATACTCCGGATTTTCGAATTCCCAAGTCAATAAAAACAAAAAAGTAGGTACCTACTAGTTTTTATGGAAGAGTACAAATTCACCCCCCCATAACAGAAGTACTTTAACTGGATAAAAAATTTATTTAGCATTGCAAGTTTATGTATACGTCACTTTTGGTGTTGACGCGTAATTTTTCTAATAATTGGGTTATTTTTGGGTGGAAAATGGGAACATTTCCACGCAAATTGGCGAGGTACATTTAAAAGTGAAGAACATTAGGTTTAAAATTTTTTTAGCGGAAGTAGGTACACGCATTCATTCTTTACATTTCACATATGCAATTGAACAATAATATGACACATGATAAATTTATGATCCGCGGACCGGCCCACTCCATATAAGCGCAAACAGTGTTTACTGTACCCACACTTACCTATAGCAAAACTTAATCATACACAACCTGCAATAAACAATGCAGAAGCTTTATTGATTTCTTTTAAAATGCCGCAGAATACCATAAAACTATTAATATTTACGAGCGTTCACCAAATACGCTACTTATAATAATTAATAACCAGATTGCAACCTTAAAAACAGTTTGCGCAGATGTTATTAAACACTTTCGTTAAAAATTCGGCAGCTGTCCGACCTGCAGTGCAGCGGCAGCGCTAAAAATTAACAAAAAAAACATAAACATGAATTACTGTCGAATGTGCGAGCATAGCTAAACACGTATAACAAAATTAAGTAATTGAGATTGTAAGATTAAATTGGTAATAAAAATCATTGCCGTTTTAGTTAAAATGTCAAGTCAGGATGATTCTGCAGCTTATCATCTATTTAACTGGTCTATTCAATAAACCGGCTAATGGGGAACTGATTTTCTATGGCAGGTGTTATTATAACAGTAAAGTAACGCATCACGCGCCCTTTTATTTGTTCAATGGGTAGTCACGCGTCCTGTACATTATACACTATTTTACCTTTCCTATATCTTTCGTTAGGTGTAGGTATATTTTCCAGTTCAAAAGTAAAGGGATCTAGAATTACAGCCTCTAACACTTTTGGAGAATAGAATTAGCCGATTCAGTATAAGGGGGTATCGATGATGAAGGTATTAAGAAATCAATCTTGACTAGAATCAGAACAGGTGGTCTCTGTGTTACACATTGCGCCTATTAATTGAAGCACTTTGTCATGTGTGGGATTATTTTAGGTTACCAAGACTTCACAATAATAGTATTCGTAACATAATGTAAGCTCAGTATTTCTGGTCGGACATAAATATTTTGTCACAATAATGAAATTTGTTTATTTTAATCTTGATATATACCTACACAAAACTGTGCACCACTCCAAGACCAAACTTAAATTATACCTGACTGTAAAACAGTAGGTAATAGTTCATAGTAGTAAATTGTATTAAGGCATGACCAATTTTAATTGGTGAAATTGGAATAGTCAGGCTCAAAGGATAACCACTGATGAATGTACTGAGCTCTTGGGTATGTGGCTGTGGCATTTCGAATCAGATCTTGGACGTATAGGTACCGTACACAAATGGTATCATTTCAAAACAATCTGAGACGGGAATCGGAATCTATTCTATAATTTTAAATAATAATAATAGTACTTACTAACAAATAGACAAGACATTTAATGATTAATGAATTAATGAAAATTTGGATTTTACAGTGTAGATTAAATAGTAAATTTAATGAACTAAACTATTTCCTATCATTAAACTATTTTCACGTGAGCTAACTGGAAGGAAAAGTACAAAAAGTTCCAAAGATACTTCCGCAACATAACAAGACGAAGAAATTACAAAA